TGTACATAGGAGGTTTTGCGATAGGGCCGATTAGGGAGTTAGACCTGGATTCTATGCATACTTCGATTATTGTTTTGGATCTTTATGCGAGATAGACTTATGCGATATTGATGAGCATAGTAGTTTTGCTCACCCCCATTATTGTTTTGTCCTCTTGTTTTCCTCTTCCTATCTTTAGGTTGAGCGTTGTTGGCGGCGGTGGCGAGAGACGAGCAAGTGGTGGTCTTTGGATTGTCGTGTCTTTGCTTCCGCTTTATCTATTTTTTTTATATGTTGGATTATTACTTATGGATTATTGGAATCATGATGTTTTGGATTAGTTTTGAAAACTTATGAATGATTTGATTTGATTATTATAATTGATAGACTGCATGTTTAGAACCATCGTGGATGTCTAAATTGTTTACCTTGTTAGTTGATTTAAGTAGCGCCCATTAAGGTAAAGTATTAAATTAAATTTTTTGCAAAATTTTACTCTGATTTTCATTAATAAATCTAGCAAATTCTTTAAAATAAAACGGGGCGTTACAGTATGGTATCAGAGCTAGTCTGCGTTTCTGTAGACTGTCTCTAGTGTTATTGTGTTAATGACCATTGACCACTCGCTTCGTCTCGCCGCGCCAACTCGAGGTATGAGTTTTTGTTTATTGTTCATATTATTGGGGCTTAGGACTACCCACCACATTATGTAATGAATTCTAGTGTTTCAGCGTTGAACTCTAGAATTGATAATTTTTGTCTGTGCTAAAACTCTTCGGATCATTCAATGTAGAGCTATGGCTAGACGCAATGCTCGCAACAGGCAACCATCTCCATCCCCGCCTCCTTTGCCTCGTCAGCATGCTCCACCCGATCCAGACCGAGATTTTCCGAGGCTTATTATTCAGTTCCAGGGCATGCATCCGCCTACCTTCACGGGGACTGAGAGTCCCACTGCTGTGTTGGAGTGGATCAAGGAGTTGGATAAGATCTTCTCTGTGCTTTCTCTCACTCAGCCACAGCGCGTCTCTCGTGCTGGCTTTCAGATGAAGATGGACGCTTCGGATTGGTGGATTGATTACTGGGCCTTGAGGCCAGAGGCAGAGCGCAATGTCCTCACCTGGGAGCATATGAAGGATATCGTCCGAGATAAATTTCTTCCCCAGAGTTTCCGTGATCGCATGGAGCAGGAGTTTTGGCATCTTCAGCAGGGGAACGCCAGCGTGGACGAGTACACGCGCAATTTCACTCGCATGAGCATCTTCGCTGGTGAAATGGTGAATACTGATGCGAAGAAAGCCCGTAAATATCTGAAGGGGCTGAATCAGCATATTCGCGAGCTTGTAGGGAGCCATGGAGCAATGCCTTATGCCGATACCGTTCTGCGAGCTCAGGAGGTTGAGAGTTGTTTGATTCCGATAGCTCCAGTGCACTCCTACTATCATGCTTCTCAGACCACTCAGACTGCACCTTCGCTCATCTCTCAGTCACCTGTCATTCCTCAGACTTCTTACCAGTATCCTGCCCCGTTCTCTTCAGCTCCCCCGTCCTCTAGTTCCAGCAAGAGGAAGAATGATCAGCAGAACCGCAAGAAGGGCAAGCGCCCTAACCATGGCCATCGCCAGCATCAACAGCAATTTGTGACCCAGAATGTTCAACCCATCCAGCAGTTTCCGGCAGGACCGCCACCATGAGGAGCGTGCGGACGGGTCCATGAAGCCAACATGTGTCGCGTTGTCGACGTGACTTGTTTCAACTGCCAGAAGAAGGGCCATTACTCTCGTTCCTGCCCCGAACCCCGAAGGCCAAATCAGCCCCAGCCTCATCAGCAGCAGCAGCAGCGAGCCCCAGCCCGAGTTTATGCCATTACTCAGGCGGAGTCAGTCAACAATGCAGGTACAATGTCTGGCATGCTATCTTTATCGAATGTGCCTATCTATGCTTTATGTGATACTGGGGCCACACATTCTTTCATCTCTCGTCAATGCCTGGAGTCACTGGGAATCCGTAGTGTTAGTAGAGTCGATGCTCTCGAGGTTTGTTTAGCTTCGGGAAAAACGATCTCTACCGATACGATGGTACAGGGAATTGAAATTTCAATTGGAGGCCAAACGTTGAAGGCAGATGCTTATATCATTGATATGCGGGATTTCGACGTCATCCTTGGTATGGAATGGCTTACCCACTACCGTGCTGACATCCGGTGCTTAGAGAAGGAGGTCACGCTTCACCCAACCGATGGAGAGTCGATCGTGTTTTACGGCGCCAAGTCGATGACCGTGCCGAAAGTTATTTCCTCCCTGAAGGCCATGAATGGAATAACAAAGGGTAGTTGCCAAGGCTACCTAGTGAGCATGACCAGAGAAGAGGAAGAGAAGAAGCCATCACCGGGGGACGTATCAATTGTATGTGAGTACCCCGATGTTTTTCCCGACCAGTTGCCAGGTGGACCGCCCAACAGACAAGTTGAATTCACCATTGACTTGCTGCCTGGAGTCGGACCCGTCTCGAAGGCCCCTTATCGAATGGCACCGAAGGAGTTACAAGAACTCAAGACGCAAATCCAGGAGCTGTTGAACCTTGGTTTCATTCGACCAAGTGTTTCACCCTGGGGAGCGCCCGTGCTGTTTGTGAAGAAGAAGGATGGTTCGATGCGCATGTGCATTGATTATCGTGAGTTGAACAATTTGACGGTCAAGAACAAGTACCCCTTGCCGAGAATTGAGGACCTCTTTGATCAGTTGAGAGGAGCCAGTGTCTTCTCCAAGATTGATCTGCGGTCTGGTTATCATCAGTTGAAGATCAAGGAGTCCGACGTCTCGAAGACCGCCTTCCGAACTAGGTACGGTCATTATGAGTTCGTGGTCATGCCGTTTGGGTTGAGTAATGCCCCTGCGGTGTTCATGGACTTGATGAACCGTGTTTTCCATCCGTACCTGGATCACTTCGTCATCGTCTTTATCGACGACATCTTAGTGTATTCCCGGGATTTAGAGGAGCATAAAGAACATTTGAGGATTGTGCTAGAGACCCTTCGTCGGGAGAAGCTCTACGCGAAATTCTCGAAGTGTGAGTTCTGGCTGGATAGAGTGGCTTTCTTAGGCCATATCGTCACGGCTCATGGAATCGAGGTAGACCCAGGAAAGATTGAGGCCGTCAGTAAATGGGAGACACCAAAGAATGCTAGTGACATCCGCAGTTTTCTAGGACTGGCAGGATATTATCGGCGTTTTATCGAGGGATTCTCGAAGGTGGCCCAACCGCTGACGAACTTAACCAAGAAGAACATCAAGTTCGTGTGGAGCCCTCAGTGTGAGTCGAGTTTTCTGGAGTTGAAGAGGAGACTCACGTCTGCGCCAGTGTTGACTATACCGGACCCGACTTTGGAGTTCACTATTTATAGCAATGCTTCGAAGATGGGTTTGGGTTGTGTGTTGATGCAACAAGGGAAGGTCGTGGCTTATGCATCGAGGCAGTTGAAGCCTCACGAGGTGAACTATCCGACCCATGACTTGGAACTTGCCGCAGTGGTTCATTCTCTTAAGATCTGGAGGCACTATCTCTACGGAGGCAAGTGCGAGATTTTCACGGACCACAAGAGTTTGAAATACATCTTCACACAGAAGGAGCTCAATATGAGGCAAAGGCGTTGGTTAGAGCTCGTGAAGGACTACGATTGCACAATTAGCTACCATCCAGGGAAAGCTAATGTGGTCGCCGACGCGTTGAGTCGGAGGAACCACGGTGCGCTTAACTTCATCATATCTCGGGAGGAAGAGTTAGTCCGAGACTTCGAACGACTGAAGTTAGAGATCGTGAAGTCCACTCCGAGAACTAGTGGTGTGCTGGCATCATTAGTTGTGGGGCCGACTTTGCGAGAGAGGATTATATCTGAGCAGCCAAACGACCGATTTCTTTGTCGGATGAGGGAGTTGGCTTTAGCTGGACAGATTGGAGGTTTCGCGGTTTCAACTGACGGTGCTTTACTCTTCGAGGGGCGACTTTGTGTACCGAAAGTTTGGGAGCTGCGACGCGAGATTCTGAAGGAGGCTCATAGTGCTCCTTATTCCGTTCACCCTGGTAGCACGAAGATGTACCAGGACTTGAAGAAGACCTTTTGGTGGCGTGGTATGAAGCGCCAAGTAGCGAGATTTGTGAATAGTTGTTTAGTGTGTCAGCAAGTGAAGGCTGAACACCAGAAACCGAGAGGTCTTTTGGGTCCGCTTGAGATTCCCATGTGGAAATGGGAGTGCATTACCATGGATTTTGTGGTAGGTTTACCGAGGTCGAGGAAGGGACACGACTCTATCTGGGTGATTGTGGATCGACTTACGAAGTCTGCCCACTTCTTGCCCGTTCGAACGACGATGAAGGCCAGTGATTACGCCAAGTTGTTCGCAGATGAGATTGTTAAACTTCATGGAGTTCCCTTGGAGATTGTGTCCGACCGAGACGCGAGGTTCACTTCTCAGTTCTGGAGGACTCTGCACCGAGCCATGGGGACGAGGTTGGAATCCAGTACAGCTTTTCATCCTCAGACAGATGGTCAGTCAGAGCGGACAATCCAGTACTTGGAGGATATTCTTAGGGCTGTGGTCTTGGACCGTAGCCTAACTTGGGAGGATTCGTTGCCATTGGTTGAGTTGGCTTATAATAATAGTTATCATTCCTCTATCAAGATGGCACCGTACGAGGCTTTGTACGGGCGAAAGGTTCGAACTCCCATTTACTGGGATGAAGTTGGAGAGAGGACGATTATGGGCCCGGAGTTCATTCGCACGACTTCGGCTCAGGTTGATGAGATCCGGAAGAGGATCAAGTCTGCCCAAGAGAGGCAGAAGGTTTATGCCGACCGTAAGAGGCAAGAGCATGAATATGCCGTTGGTGATCATGTTTTTCTGAAGGTCTCGCCCATGAAGGGTGTGATTCGCTTTGGGAAGAAAGGGAAGCTTAAGCCTCGCTATATCGGGCCTTTTGAGATCCTTGCTCGAGTCGGAGACTTGGCGTATCGGCTAGCTTTGCCACCAGACTTGTCGGGAGTGCACGATGTGTTTCATGTCTCCATGCTGCGTAGATATGTACATGATCCCGACCATGTGGTGGACTTCAGCGAGTTGCAGGTCGAGCGAGACCTCACCTATGAGGAGGTGCCGGTTGCCGTACTGGATCGGAAGGTCCATCAGCTGAGGAACCGGGCAATGAGTTTGGTGAAGGTGCTTTGGAGCCGACACGACGAGACCGAGGCGACTTGGGAGATCGAGGCCGAGCTTAGGAGGAAGTATCCGAACTTCGTCTTTTGATTCCTTTTCGTACTCTTTTGTTTTCTAGTTGGATTGTTTTTCTTTCGAATTCCGAGGTCGGAATTCCTTTTTAGGTGGGTAGATTGTAGCGCCCCATTTTCTCCGGATTATTTTGAGATTATTATATATTCTATTTTATTCGAGACTATTTAATTCGTACTCGATTAGTATTTGTTTGACTATGTGATAGTAATTGCCTAATTGTTTTAGTGTATTTAATTATTATCGAACCGAATTAAATTCCAAATTAAGTTCCGAACCGAGTATCGAACCGGGTCGGGATTTTAAATTATATTCACGCGCTAAGTAACCGAACCACCCGAATCCGACCCAACCCGCGGCCGCATGTGGTTAGCCCAGTCAAAACCTCCGCCCCCTCAAATTCTCGTGCATGTTTGGAAATTAAAACTTAAGTTTGAATTAAGTTTTAATTTTGAAACCTCCAAACATAATTAGCCTTTATTTTCCATTATCGCGCATTGATACCGAATTATGGGAGGGGATTTCAGATTTTTTTGTAACATCTTAAATAGAGACTTCACTCACCTTCTTCACAGTATTCTCACTCTTTTCTCTCCCTCTACTCCTTAGCTTATAATTTCAGAACTTTCCACTCCTTTCTCCTTCCCCTCTCTAGCCATCTGCTGCGTTTATAAAAAAAAAAAAAAATCCAACACTGCATCACCATCGCCATCATTCCTTGCGAGTACCTCCATCATCGTGAGCCTCACCGCTGTTCGCAAGCTCCGGGAGACCACCTCCGAGCAGGCCGTTCGTTACATCTGTTTGTCAAGCTAACGGTCGAGCCGTTCACGAGCCGCCCGGGCCCCATCCGTCCAAAGTTTATCGTCCAGTTTCGAAGTCGATTGTTCGACCCGCTGTCGGGACCGTTTCCCGTCCAATAGCTGAAAGATTCCCGAACACGGGTAACTCCTTTGAATCCTCTCGTTATTACGGTCGTTTTCATATATTGCATGATAGTTATATATGTCATACGTGCTACCGAATTCTCGTTTGAAGTCGGATTTCTTCTTGGGTGTTCTGTTTTTGAATAATGTGAAGGAAAGCAGTACCTTCTCTAAGCCTCAGTTGTAGCAATTTTGTGCTGAAAATGGGGGTTTGTTATGCGTGAATATGCTGTAGTGATTGTGCTTAATTTTAGAGGATAATAACTCAGGTTCATACCTTAAAATTTTTTCAAAAACAGAGCATGTTTTGAGTTTTATCTCCTTGTTAGTTATGTGCTGATTTTTA